AAAGGTAGAGATATGGTGAGTATCAGTTTCTGAGACAAAGTGTAAGTGATAATTGTGGCAAAGGCATTGAATTGTTGTGGTTGTTACTAGTGCTTTTAAGAAGTGGGTAGCTTTAAGGGTTCTGGTATTTGTTGTGATACAGGAATTTGGCTCGAATCCACTAGGAATGACTTTGATATCTTCAAGGTTATCTTCGTGGATAGCAATGCCCCAGTGATTTGTGTAACTTTTGAAGTAGGCATCGAGGTCAATAATGTCGGGGTTTTGGGTAATGGAAGTAGGCATCTTGTTGTTAAATTTTGCTTAAGGGCACAAAATAGATTAACTTAGTAAATTTCTAAATATATTAGTAGAAAAGCTTGTAATATTGCAATAATAGCAGAGCGTTATCACAAGGATAGATATAGGCAGAGGTTGTTGTATTACAACTGCAGCTAGTGTGGCTTGTGTAACCTCATGTAACCTCATGTAACCCAAATTAGTATTGGGTGATACAAGAATGTGGCTAGTATGGCTAGTGTAGCTGGTATAACAGAAAAGTTACACATAATACTAAATAGTGTATTGAAATACAGAGGTTGTATAAAAATAGTAGTAGGTAACAAAAGATAAAAATAGCTTTGTATTATTAATTAAATTACTATTTTGGGTAATTTGATTAATACAATAGAAAATTTAATTAAATCTAAATTTGGAGGTGATTTACTGTTACACTAAAAATGGGTTGAAGAGAAAAAATTGGGGTAAAAACAAAAAGAGTTTTTTATTGGTAACTTGGTCAATATTAGATTAAAAACTTTCGTTGAGGGCTTGTTTTGACCGGGTAGGTAAGCTTAACAACTTGTCTTAGAGCTGCCAAATAAGTTGTAAAGGTGGTTTTAGAGAAATAATTAAAAGTTGAAGTTTTAAAACCAAAAAGGTTTTTGTAGTGTTTTGCTACGAGTTTACAAGATAGAGGCTTGAAACTTTCAAATTATATGTAAAATTTTGAGCTGAACAAATTTATTTAAGCTGCCAAAGGCAGTTATCTTAATAAAATAATGTGTTATTAACAATTTTTGACTGGCGAATTTTTAGTTAAATTTTGTATAAGTGATTGATGAACAAGATATTATTATATAAAATAAATTTATTTAATATTTAGATAAGTTTATTTCATATGAATAATATTAAGGGTGTTAGTTTATGGTGACAGGTTGCTATTGTGATTCTATATGAATGGCTAATCAAAATTAAGCATGTGAATATATAGAAAATTTCTAAAATTATATATATGTTTATATACATCAGGGATGTATAAAAGTTTGAAAATAAATTTTTCCAAATTTTTTCAAATTTTTACACTAATCTAAAGATTTCTAAACTTTTGCATTTACCCCAAATTTTTTTACATTTTTGCCTTATTTTAAGGACACATGTAATTTGCCAATAAAAATAGGTCTTTATACATGTGATTTGACTAATAATATTGTGTTTGTGGATCATCTTAGTATCACCACTAAAATTGTTAGTGAAACTGGTAAAATTTAGTGTAACTTGATGAAACTGGTAATTATCTAAAATCTGATTGGCTATTGAATGCAATAGCCAATCAAATATTAGATAATCACCAGTTTTACCAGTATAATTTAGTTTCGCCTGCAGCTCTAGTTACTACCCTAAAAAATTTCTGAATTAAAAATTCAAGATCAGGTATAAGGGAGCTAATACTTATTACGTAAATCTAATCTCTCTCTGAGTCAGTAATTTTAACAATTACAATTTCTAAAGTAATCAACTGTTTGACAATTACAAGTTTTAAATAATCAACCAGTTGACAATTGCAAGCTCTAAAATAACTAATCATATAAAGTTTATGCTATGATTACTTTAGACTTGTAATTGTGTCAAATGACTGACTTCGGAGAGTTAGATTTATATAATAAGTGTTAGCTCCCTAACATAAAATCAAAACAAAATACTCAACCTCTGGTATTCAAATTTTTTTAGAGTAGTGATACTAGGGTCTTAGTGCAAAATCATTATAAAATCTTTTTAATTTCTTTTTTTTCAAAACTTTAATAGTTTGAAATTTTTTATTAATATATTATACAGTATTGTCCTACTAATGTAATAACTGGCAACAAAATTATTTATTTGTGAATACAAATAATGGATTTTGATATATAAAATCTTTTTTTCAAATTTTGAATATTAAAAAATTTTTTATTCAAATTTATCCAAAAATTTGCTAATAATCAAATTAATTTTTGCAATTTGATATCCAAATTTTTATATGTCTCTGGTATACATGTATTGATTTACATTCTGTATAACAAAACAAAAAAACAAATATTTATTAAAAAAAATAATTTTTTAACTTTAGAATTAGTATGAAGCTTGGAATTTTAGTAATAGTGTAATTATATATAAAATTTAGCAAAAGTTTTTTTAATTAGAATATCAAAGGTAGTTTCATAAGTGAAATTTTAAGATATTAAGATTTTTTAATTTGGGCAAATTTATTTGTTGCATGGAGGCGACAAATTTTATACGTCGCTTATATATAATTTACATGATTTATATAAATTGGTGTAACAATAATATCTCTATACAGTAAATAGTATGTATTACTAATTTTTTGAGTTATCTTTATTTATATACCTCAATCAAAGAAATTAATTAACTAACGCTATGTTTATACACTTAAACTCACAAACAAAATACCAAATAAATGTGATTAAATGAGAAGTAAATAGCATGTTTTAAATATCTCGAGAAGATAAAGTTAGATAAAAATTAAACAGTTCATTTTAGATATCTCGACTGCTAAATGGCATAAATAAGAACCAAATGCAAAAATTAAGAAATAAATTGATTACTATATATCGATATATAATCAATACAAATAAGATAAAATTAAATAAGCTTATCTTAATCCTTCGATTATTATCTGTTGCTATTAATACTTATCAAAATACCTCAATTAATACAGAAATGTTAATTGTCCATAAAAAAAAAACATCAGTTAATTTCAAGTGAATTAGCCATCTTATAAAATTTCTCATAACTATCTGTATATATAAATGCTTGGATAAGTGACAACTATTATCAGTTCTAAAATACTGTAACAGTACCATATATAATTTTAACTTCACTGCTTATTGTAATTCTAAATAGAAAAGCCACAATATAAAAACTATTCTACTGTAATAACTACAAGCTATATACAGTATTTTCTTTTAAGATAGCATTGGCTTCACTATCTGTTATTGGGACATTTAGGAGCATAATGTCCTGTTTTATAACATAAGCAGCATTTACATACACCAATATTATTAGTTCTTTTCTCTTCGATATCAATATCAGCCTGATGCATTGTTTTAGAACTTGCTTTGCTACTTTCTTTATTAAAGCTTTCAAATGTTTAGTAGCTGGTCTACTCTTTCCTCAACGTACTACTGGGTTTTTAACATCATCAGCATTATACACACAACCATCAACTAATCTTATGCTCGATGTCTGGTATTAAATAACTGTTATTTGACTTTCAGCTTTACGTTTTTTCTCTTTTTCAGAGATATAAGACAAAATAAGTTCGTTTAAAACCTTTTGATCATCATCCTTCATTGAATAGTTTAATGCCTTCTTAAAATTACCCATAAGCCTACCATATTCTGCTTTTTTTTGTACACGATACTGAATTTCAGCTTTTTGAACATTATTATAATGTCTAGGAAAAACCTTTTGCATACTCCCATCATCCTGAACATTTTTTGATAATACTCCAATAAAGGGCTCTTTAGAAATGAGATCTAGGCATTTTCATGAATCATATTGAAACCACCTTGTTAGCATTAGCATCATATGAAATAGCGCATTTATATTTTCCACCATCAACTTAAAATAATGTTGGCAAATAATTTCATGCAACACCAAAAGCAAACATATACACAAATATGTACCATTATCGAGTAGAATAATATGTTGATATGAATTCTCTGACATATATGAAATAATTTTCCAAACTTCCTTAATCATATCTACTGAAATGGAATTGATTAATGCTTTTAGATATGTATGATGAAAATCGTAGTAATCTTCAATCACTTCAATATTTTGATTCATATTTTAAAGAAATATATGTGATTAAGCAAGATTTCTTAACTAATTGCATCGATTATAACATATTAAGAAAACACAATTATAATGGTATATAAATTTAAGCCCAACGAATTTAATTACAAAATCTAAAATGCAGTATATGTGACAATGTATTCTATAATCTTACCATTTGATTTTCATTAAATTCACTAATATCCTTGTTATACTCTATTTGATCCTAAAAAAAATAAAAAAATTAAATAAATATTAAAATCATCTAAACTCCAGATATAAGTTAGCTATGACCTATATATACCAGGTGGTCTTCATTAAATTCAACAGTTATACCAAATTCTATTTTTTTACAATAATAGAATACCGATTCACACATCTGGTTATAAAGTTCTTCAGCAATTCGTGACAATAAATAGTTGTGAATTTGGGTTTTAATATTATTAAAAAAATGTTTAATAATAAAGGGTTGGTGATATGTTAATGTTTTATGCTTTCATGATATAAAACACATGTTTAAGTCTTCCTTTTGCATCTGGGAATTAATAGCTTCAGCAACATTAGTCATACTTGAACTAGATGAAACTTCTTTATGAACAAGTGCATTAATTGATTCAATGTATTGCGTCAATTGCATTCCAGTGGTGAATATTCTGTTAATAAATGAACAAGCCCACAATTGTCGAGTTGAGTAAATAGGATTTTGCAGATAGTCAGATGCATTAGGATATTTTTCCAATATCAATTGAAATCGTTGCTCAAAAATGTCAACACTTAATGAATTCTGAGCTTGCCAAAACTCACAGATAAACTCCTTATATTTTATATTACCAAGTTTTGACTTAAGATTTTTTGGCAAATTCTGAGACAAATGCCAAATGCAGTATACATGATATGTATTTGGATATACAATTTTACATGTTGCATCCATCACAGGGTCCATATCAGTAATAATTACTTGTGGTTCAGCACCAGTTGCATCTAGTGTTTTCATAAAACCTACTTGTAACTTTCTTGAGTTTTATCATTTAAGAATGCTTGCATGCCCAGACATGATTTACCTTCATTATCAACAAAAATAAATAATGATAGAGGATAGTTGTATTTGTTTGTCCTTGAAGTATTATTGTGCAGGACTATATCAGAATAGTAAGACAATAATAAAATTAGGTTTTGTATTATCCAAAATATGCCACATAACTAATCGCTATTTACATTAATTAGCGGCTGAACAAACATTGCAGATTCTGCTTTTTGCTGATTCAAAAGAAATTTTAATAACTAAGAAGCATCTGATCTATAATTTTTTTTCATGTTTAATCTTTTGAATTGCATTAGAAAAATCCTGAGTAAGAAATAATTGATCTGAAAATAATGGTTGAAGCAAGTTTCTTATGGTGTATGCATCACAATAACCATACACTACTATGTGCTCTATTTTAGCCATTACTGTATAAACTCGAAATAACACCCACCTGCACGTTAATTAATCGATCTGCACGTTATTTCAAGTACGCCCATGTGCGTTATTTCGAAACAAGAATCGATTTTTCAAATCAAGTATTTTTAAAATAATGCGCATGTGTGCTTTATATATTTTATATATTGTACTATCTAACCTGCCGATAGCGATTCAATTTAGTTAGAACTTTCTCTCAAACTAAACGTATATTACCAACAATATCCTTTTTAGGAATTTGAAAATAACGAATATAAGGTAAACAACTTTGTAAAGTA